AACAACAAGGGTCAGCACACACATGCGGACGCATTGCGCTTTAAAGCCAATGTAATTCGATGCTGGCTGGAATGTGGTCTACTGGCAAACTGGCAACTGGCTTCGGGCCTTGCCCCTCTTTTCGCCAGAGGAGCGGCAACATCGATGACAATGACGCCAAATGGCAGGAAAGCTGCAGATGTCGCCCGTCCACAGTTGGTGCTCATATTTCCCTGATCCTGGCCAAAGGACATCCCAGTTGGTGCGTGTGTGTGTGTGCCCTGTCAGCGTGTTGTGGCATAATTTATACGCTTATTTGTTAATTTCGCACACACTCTCTAGAAGCAGTGTAGTACGCACGGCCAGATACATTACACAAACTCTTGGCTTAATTAAAAGTTAAGGCAACAAGTTTTTGTCCAGCCTCAAGGAAGTTCCAGCGACACGATGATACCCTTCTTGGTCAGTTTTAAATATCTATCTGTATATATCTCTTAAGCATTGCCAAAAAATTGATTTAAATTTTCATTTAAGAAGCATATGAACTCAAAAAACATGAAATTAATATTAAATCGAAATAATAATCTTAGGCTAAGAAATATTAGAAGAAATTGGTAAGAACATATATGTTTGATTCTTGATTTTAGGACTGTTCTTATCATGAAAGCACTTTCTAAAAATGTATATTGCAACGGCAGAGCTAAAAAGTAATCTTTAAAAAATGTTTAACATTTTAGTAAATCGTTCAAAATTAATTTAATTTTAAATTAAATAGATTTTTATCTGTAGATGTTTTGCAAATAGTATTTTTCATGGTTAGCCAAGAAAATAAGCACTAGCTACATCTGCTGGTAGATTGGTGATTGGTGGAAAACACTTTCCTGCTCATAATGCATTATGATACTAGCAATGATATTATCTATATTGAATACCCCGGTGACGGGCCAACATATGCTCCCAATGAGCTATCCGTTTACTCAGTTTTCCCTCCGCATTCGATGGCTCGGAGTACTACATTTCAATTAATCAACTCATCTCGGAACAGCCAGCTCGATGGGCATTTCGATAAGCAGCGACGCTCAAGTAGGGCACTGCGGTGGCTGATGGCTAAGCCGAGATGTTGGCGAGAGCAACAGGATAATTACTCGACCATATGCTCGAATGTCCAGCCCAGGAGCCGCAACAACAGGAGCCAAAGGAGTCAAAGGAGCAGGAGCAGGAGCAGCCCACCCAAGGCCAGTTGGGCGACTTGAGTGCTCTGGCTTTTGCTGCGATGTAATTGTAATTTAGACACCACAAACTCAAACGAGTTAACAGTGCCGTAGGCAGGCTACTATCAGAGGGGGTATTGGCATTCACTTTACTAGTCCTGAAAAAATGAACTTAGGACACATTGTTAAATATTTAAATATCAATAGATAATACTTACAGGTTTTGGATCGCTTCAAAATATATATTCTTAGGGCTTAAACAGATTTTCAAATTCCAAAATATATAACATAACCAATTTTTGTACAACTAATAATTAAATTCAAATACAAGTTTTTTGGAGACCTCTAAATATACAAAAAATAAAGAAAATCTTAATTCTAATACAACTGACTATGTGATATTTATAACGCAATTTAAATGTTTGTTTTTCTTTCGAGCGCGCCAACATAAATAAAAAACAAATAAACCATACAATTTGTTTAATAACATTTGACTCTTAAAAAAGAATTAAACTCTTTATATTTCAAATAATTAAATTTTATAAAGCTTAAATATAGTTCCTTCCAATTATTGTTTATTTTTTCTATACGAAAGAAATTATTCAAGAAAAGGTTCATTTTGGGTGTTAGTTTCCTTTAAAACGCCACTGCCAGGATGTATACGTGTTTGTGACTTTGTCTATTGTGCATGGGTTGCGTAATTTTTTCGCTGTCATGCGGTTAAACGTGCAAATTACGCGCCATTTTTATTCGTTGTGCCAGCCGTTGGTTGTTTTATTTCATTTTCTCACCTCATTTTTGCGGGGTTTTATCTCCAGCCTGGCCACACACTCGCACACACGCAGAACGGCACTTGGAGCCACGTGTGTGTTTAACCTAATTACAGGAGACTCGTCCTTTTCACTCAGAGCTGACTAGGACCAGGATTCTTGGGCTTGGGCCTTATTGGGTTTCCGGCTGGGTTTGTAACTCAAATCAAGGTAAAGGATGTTGAAAACTTAACTCATATTTTTGGTTAGACTTTCCATTTAGAAATGGAAAGTGGAAAATTGTGGGATGAACCTTGCGTAATATTAAATGTTGATTAAAAATAAACGCTTTGTTAAAAATATGAATTCCCGATACCAAAGCATTAAAAAATTATAATATTTTAATAAAATTCATTTACCAAATTATTATGATAATTTTCTGATAATAATGTTAATTTTAAATGCTTTAGTATCGGGAATTGACACTTATAAATATTTTAATAACAAAAGACCTGTATCGTAACAACATATTTAAAGGCCATATAAATTTTTAGATTCTATAGAACGGAGTGAAATAAAGTTGACGTCGTCGAGGTTATAACATAATTTGTGCTAATGTTAATTTTGCCCTTAATACTAAGAAGTAATTACCTCAAAAATATATGAAAAAATATGTATAATTTAATGCCTTTAAAGGGCATACGAGAGTCGTTCCTTAATGACAATTACATTTATAATTTCCACGGCCCCGTAAAGGAGATGCTAGGCCACAAAGCAACGTACATGTATGTACATATATTCTGGCCTATTGTGCTGCGCTCGCGCTTGTTTTTGTTCCTGTCGAGTCATTATATTCATTTAGAAATTCAATTAGCTCCATAATTGCAGCAAGTGTTTAATGATGATAATGCGTTTACTCCGATAACGTTGGCGATTGTGATAATGATGACAGTGACTTGTGTTATATCCCGAGAACATCTAATTAAGAGACAATTTCCTCGGGAAAAACATGATTTACATGTTAAATACCCAACATGGCCCTGGGCTTTATAAAATTGTATTTAAAATTGGTTAAACAAGCTTGCAAATACATCAGTGTTATGTATACGAAGTTTGGACCCATTTTCGAGATTTACATAGTTTGTATTTTGTAAAATTATACGCTCGCTTAGCCAAGAAAAAAAATACTTTTTGGTCTGCGCCCATCATAACTTTACCATGGACACAAAAAATGCTTAAAAATCATTTATGCAAATTCTGACATGGCCCAGAAAAACGTTTACTAGACTTCTATCAAATTTGGTAAGCAGCCTTGGTTAATTATGAATTTTACATTATAAATTTACATGACAAAGATCGTTCGGCAACATTTTTGAATGCAAAAGAGCAACGAAAAATTAATTGCTAATAGAGTGGAACATTTAGATTTGAAATTGGAGTAGCATGTGTTTGCAGACGCCTCCTGTGAATCGGCTTAAATTGGACGAGGTGGGTTGTGCTCATTTTAATAGCTTTGTTTTCGCTTTGAAGTCATTTAGCGACCCATTCAAAGTTTTATTGGTTGCCGAGTTGCTGTCGACAGGAGCATACAGATCCAATACGCACTCAAGCTCAGTTCTGGATTTTATTGAGCTTTTCTGCTGGTTTTGTTTGTCATGTCAAATCAACATACCAAGCTGACAATAACAAATAAATCAAATTACAACCAATGGGGCTCTGAATAAATGTGAAACAGAAGAAATGATGATTAAATAAAATAAGTTTAATTAAAACCCATACGTTTACTAAAAAGCTTGTGATCTTTTAACCTTAAGGTTAAAATTAAATCAAACAAAAACACCTCTTAACGACGTAAAGAAGTCGTGACGATCGCATTCTCAACCTACAAAATAAAATAGTTTTAAGTTTAGGTTTTTAAAAATAATTCTTATTTTTCAAATATTAAGTGTTTCTTTCTTTAACCTGAAACCATTTTTTTTCCGCTCCAAATAGATGAATATTGTTGGGAGGAAATTCTTGCCAAGGCAGCTTTAGCTGCTCTAAACTGAAAAAAGTTGCAGTTTAATTTTCGAAAACAATAATGTTATATACAATTCCTATCCTATCTTTACCTCCTCATCTAACATATAAAGAACCATATTTTACAGTGGTTTTTAAAATAAACATCTTTGGACTGTTTTTTTTAAACCGTTTCACAACGGTTCCCATTAAAATAAATATCCTTGACTTAAAAAACATTGCGTTTTTCGTCTTGGTATTTATTTTTCTATATGAGAGAAAAAAAAAGAAAAATGAGTGAAAATAAAATGTTCTTGTTTTGTAAACTACTCGTCTTATTCAAAACTAGAATATGGTTTTTTTAAAATTTTGTAAGTCGTTTAAGAATATCGTTATTCTCATACATCTGAACATCCCACCAAGGATAGTATTCATCACTTATTTGGTCATAAATTATAATGGTAATTATAATTCCTAATAAATAGTCAAAACGAATAGTTTCAAAGTACCTATAATGTATTTAAACGTACCCAATCCAATATTTAGTCATCTAGCAAAAAGCAAAGCAATAAGCAATATAAGCACCTTAAATATTTTTATCTTATCCGCTTCTATGGCAACAATATATTAAAGCCTCATTTTTATACCCTCGCAGAGGATATTATTAAATTTTTTAGAGTACTACCACTATGTGTCCTAGTTATTTTTTATATACTAAAGTCATGTCCTTAACCTCGCACAATATTAAAAAAAAAAAACGTTGATCTTTTTTTCGGCGACATTTGGATTTATTATTTGACATTAAATCTGATCCGATACAGTTCGGTTATGGTTATTTGAACACATTTAAATGGTCATACATAAAAAACACAAAACTTTTACATTATTTTCTACATTAACTTTTTGCAGTCTTGTTTTTTATGCAGTTTTACAATAATATTAATTTTTAACATTAAAAGAAAAAATAAACAAGTGTTCGCATGTTCGCATTTGATGTAGTAATTCAAAACCAAGCCAGAACTCTTTGTTAAGGTCACCGAAGCCATTTTCAAATTTCGATTTCCCACCAACTTGATTAAATTTCAGCGCTCCATCGATGCGGCGCTGAATCACAAGCCAATTCGAACCAGCAGATGGAATATCTTCGAATAGTGCCATATAGGGTTCAAATCCAATTCATTCAACCACCTTTATTTTGCTGTTTTTTTATAGTTAACTCACAAAATTTGTTCTTCGATAATGCTAACCCTATATTCTAGCTCAGATATTCGAGCTCTCAAACAATCGTCATTTTTTTTTAAATCCTCCATTTTAGCATCCTTTTCCTTTATTTTCAATTCAATTTCAGCGTTTTCGACTTTAATTTTTGATTCCAACTCGGCAATAAGTTCCTTATCTTTTTTATTAGTTATCTCGAGTGATTCCATTTTATTTTGCAACGCTTGCAGTTCATTATGATTGGATTTTTGATTAATAGAATTATTGCCCTCATCTTTTGGGCCAGAACATGTAGTTACTCCTTGAGCAATGTTTAAATTTAATGAGTTTTTAAAGTCAATTGCATTCTGCAAATCATAAATTTGACTTTTCATTTGCTTAATGCTGAATTCCTTTGTTTCAGTGATCAAGTCAATTGAGAATCGAAGTGATTTTATAACATCGTCTTTCTCCCTTATTAAAGCTTCATAAAGCCTGATCTTGTCTTTCTCAGAATTTGCTAGCCTTTCCTCCAAATCTGAGATCTTTCTCTGCTCATACATTTGCACCCTTTTATTTTGATCGCTGGCTGAACACACTTCTCCCGAGTCCAAGTCGCCGTTAAACTGCAATGCGTTGAAATAATAAACATTATAAGGAGATGTAATTGAACATGTGTATTTTTGGCTCACAGATTGATTGTCATCAAATGATTCTAGCGAAGACTCGCGGGAATCCTCCGTTAGATCGGTCAGCTTTGGCGTCTTCATGCTTATATTCTTCGCTTATATTCCTCAGTTGATTGCCTGCAGTACTTAATTGTATTAAACTTAACATATATATAATGTATTATATTTAACAAAACCTTGAATACCTTTCTTGTTTATTAAGAGAAACTGCGTAATTTATCCGAAAACCTAAAGTAAGATCTGGAACAAATTAAAAATGACGCCAAGCGTGGGATAAATCTATTGTTGCAAAATCTCCGAGCTAAAAGTGCCTAATTTAAACATCAATTTTAAGTAAAATACTAAACAGCCACGAAATACGAAAAAAAAAAACAATATAAAAGTGTTACCATAAAAGAAAAACCGTTTAATTCGAATATGTAAAATAAAATAAATATTTGATGGTTTAAAAAAAGTTATCACGATACTACTATACATTTATTAGAGATTTAGAAAAAAATGTAAAGTTCTATGATAAGTAAATTATTTTCAGCCTGCAAGAAATAAATAAATATTAAAGACAGATATTATCCCGATCTGTTAATAAAAAAAGGTTGTTATTTTCTTGCCTTTATACAATATTTTTGTTTATTTGCGTTTATATTTTTTATATACAAGTTTACAATGAGATTTGCTTTTCCATTCCCTTTGATCGATTCGTTAGCTCATTTTTCCATATACTTATTACATTTGCCTCTGTATATTGGTTAGTGTATAATAAAACTTTAATATTCGTTAATTTATTGCACTCGGTTTATATACAGCTCAGGTAAAATTTCAAATTGTCTTTCTAATGCAATAAAGAATCAAGTAACCTGAAACAATTTCATATTAATCAAAAAAACAGGCAAAATAGAAATGTTTAAAGGAAAATAAAGTCTCTAAAGCCTGAATACTGAATTTATATTAAGGTATGTATATAACTGTGTAAATAATTTCTATTTACAATCATATTTTCGCTGCATAGCAAAACTTTTTACAAATGACATTCGCCTAAATTATTACTAATGTAGTCGGTATTCAACTTTTATTGACTGTGGATCTAATTTGGGGAAGCCCCTGGTTGTAAAACTGCCGCAACGCTCAATAAACAAAGGATTCGGTTTCTTTAGACGATATGTGTAAGGAAAATTATTCAAGTATTGTAAATATTTCTATATTCGCATATATAATGTATATCAGCATGTGTATATCTATATAGGTAACATATTGTATATATGCATAAGTACACGGATACATCGATCTGGTAAATATAGGTATTTCATATTTTTCCTTCTTTATATTGCATCTACATCCAGCGTTTACTATATTTGCTTAGTTAACTAAATCGAAGGTTAACCATTAGGTTCTTTGGTTGTCATTTAATTGGTTTTCCCCTTGGGTTTGGTTTGTCCTAGCGGCCTGTGAAGGGCATCAACGTGAATCCTTAAGAGACGACATTAAAGCTTAAGATTGGGTATACATAAGAGTCCTATTGCGTTTCGATTATGTCGTACATATAAAAAGCCAATAACCGAACAACAGCTGCTACGAGTTCAACTACAAAACTATTTACACGTGTCGAAATGTCGCGATCGCCTTAAATTCAATTATTTGTCAACTGATATTTGGTTAGGTCCACCAGGTGCTCATACAGCATGTCCTCCTGCGGCGTCAGTCCGATCATGATCCATCCCGATATGGCGGCAATACTCCTTGTCACCGACAGACTGCTCCAAACGCTCTGCACACTGTTGCTCAGCTGCTCGAAATGGGATGGGTTGAGTGGGTAAAGTAATCCTACTTTCGATCGAACAGATTAGATCTTACCATCTCCTGCTGGGTCAGCGTAATGTTAGCATTGTTGTTGAACAGGTACAGCTTCTCGTCTATGGAATCGGAGCAAATTGTTAGGATTATTGTCGCCACATATATCATGGTGATGATCAGCCAGCGAAAAGAGATCAGTTCACTGGCATTCGAGAAGCTCCAGCGACATATGTCCATGCTAATGAAAATGACAAGAATATTTTTCAATTTCGGTAGGTAATTGATTGTTTTTATCTCTTAATTAATTAGTTGCTTAATTGTATTGATTCATTTTGACTTATTATCTTCCGATGAGTTTAAAAAATAATCACCTTTTCATACAGTACAACATTAAATGAACTTGGGCTGACCTAAGAGCTTATTGTCGGTAGCATTACCATATTACTGATAAGAAAGTGCAAGTGAGGTGATGGGAAGAGAAATAGAAAGTGTGACGTCAGAAGCCAAAAGTCGCAAAATGGAAATACTTAAGGTTGCCATACAAACATTTTTTCTTAGCTGTTTTTAAGAAGCAAATAAATGTCTCAAATGGACAATACCGGTAATTGGATTACCCACGGAATAATGTTATTTGAAATAGGTTTTAAAATAAATATAAAGTATTGAGTTGAACTAATGGCCAATTGCCTTTGTAATAGCTTATAAGCAGTGGCAAGCAGACTTTTTAAAGTTTATTAGCTCCAGGGAGTTTGAGTAACCTTCTTGCCTGCAAGTTCCTAAATGTCCTGACATTTATTCGCATACATATTAATTGAAAGCAAATCCTCGGCCAGCACTGTGTTTGGCAAGGATCAAAGGTCAGGACACAGACTCCGCTGCCGGGAGATACTTAACATTTAGCACAGCGACAGCCGCACATAAATCAACTGGCGCTGGGATAACGAAGCGAAATGTCATACACAGTTTCACACTTTTGCCAGCCGAAAACGGTACAATTCGAATGGCAGACATTTCCGGACCGTTTCGACCGCTTCATCCACCCAATCGACCACCCATCCACCCATCCAACCAACCACCCGACCACCCGACCACCCAAAACCACCCACACACTTGTGCCATCGACTGGCGCAGCCTTTAAAGGTCAAGAGTGCAGCCAGAGTGGCTTGCTTGTGTGTGGGCAGCGACTTTGGCATGCAAAAAGAGCAAAGTTTAAGGGCATTAAAATATTCTGTGGCTGATGAAAGCGACCACGCAATGCGAGCCACACAAATTATTTCTATGCGACCGCGAAGCCGAACAAGTTCCCAATTCCCGAATTGAGGTCGCATTCTAATTAAGACCAAGAAACGCGCACACTTCCAGAGTCTAGACTCTCTACGCCAAAAATAAAAAACGGCGAGAAATCGGGAGGTTTACCCACATCCGGCTGGCTTATGGCTCAATGAAACTCGCACCTGAGGTCAATGAGTTCTTGAGCCGAACTCCTTGGACGGGGAAAGGCTTTCCATTTTAAGCCGAGTGCTGACGAAGGTTGCGCGTAGGCCAAATCGACTTTTAATCAAGCCAAAGGACATCGAAAGACTCTAAGGACACATTGAGAAACGGCGAAGCCGCTCAATTGGTGGCAGGTATTTGTTCTATTAAGTTAGAACTCATGCGTGACTATATCCTTTGAAAAACTAGAACCGCAAATTATGATAAGAAACCAGTTACAAACCAGTTGCTTAGAACTCACACGTCGAATAGGACTACTTGAATTTTCACTACTTTAAGTTGCAACGTGTTCCTGATTTTACACTTAAGCCACAATCTAATTTAATCTTAACTATTTTAAGTCCTCCTCTTACTCACCGATCGAATACAGAAACCAGACAGATTATGGCCAAGCAGTAGAAGGTATTCAAGTAGATCTCCGCGAAGCCCGCATAATCGGTTATCAGGGCCAAGGCGTCACTGCCTCCTGCGCCGGATGCTGATGAGGCTGAGGATGAGGATGGGGATGGGGATGGGGATCCATCCGACTCCGACTCCGCTCCTCGATCGCCAGGATTGAGGTTGAGGTCCATGGCCGACGGTGTCGATGCGGATGGGGTTGGTGCTGTCGAGGACATCGTCTCGCCCGCGAGACTCATCCCATTGATGACCTTGGCCCAGTCCATGGGGTGGCTGCTCAGCACGAAGAGAAGGTGGGCCAGGGCTAGACCGGCTAGCAGGCCGTGGCAAATGTTCGAGATGAGCAGCCAGATTCGTTGAACTACACAGGCTAGTTGTATGTTGCTGGTGATGCCATTGCTGCAAGGGAAAGTATTTTCGGATTAGAACATGGATCACAAATGCAGGGTGTCTAGGGATAATTTTGGTCCTTCGCTCATTTTTTTTTTACTATGTAAGTAACATTTATGTTGTTTCTAGATTAAAAATTGCCTCCAACTAATGCCTAGTTTGTTAAGCACCAAAGTGGTGTTAAAAATGTGTTAAATATAAAAATCTCTTTTCACTTAATTACGTATAACGTATTTCAAAATAACACAATCGTTGTTAATATCAATATTTCACGTTTTAACTATATTCAAAATTTTATCGTAGGAAATAAACTAAGGGCAAACCTCAAGATTCAAATGAAACATTGCAATTGAAATTTAAATGTAGTGACAATAGTGCTCACCGATTGAAGTCGGCATCGAGCAGGCAGCGGGTATCCCCGTAACTGCCACGCCCACTCCCCGAGCCACCGGCAGTTCCGCCCATTCCGGCACCGCCGTGGGCGAGGCTGCCGCCGGAGCGGAAGAGGCGACCGGCGCCCCCCAGCTCCGCGGCAGAGATGCCGTCGAGGCCACCACCTCCTCCGCCGGACGCCGAAAGTCCGCCGGAGCCGCGGACTGCGGCCCCCAGGAAGGAGCGCTTGTAGTAGCTGTGCTCCACGGGTCGATATCCGGATGACGTCTGCAGGAACATCTTGTCGATGTGCGCGGGCGCATCGTCCGTGGGCGAGACGACCGGCGTGAATGGGTTGTAGATCTCCTCGCCGTCGGCCGGAGCGATGTCGTCGGCCAGCTCCTTCAGAATCGAGGATATCCCGCCAGCCGAGTACAGTTTGCCTGAGGGAGGAAAGAGCGACACAAATGGGATTATGTGGCTGCACTGAAAAAAATGAGTACCATGATGGTACAAGTTTAAGGCTGCTCTAAGGCAATATTTGTTAATAGATGGCTAGTTATTATCTTGCCCTTATCGTTTTATACCTTTTGCACAACTAACTATATTTATTGTATTTCAAAATTAAATCCTTATAAGAAGATACTAATTTCTAAACATGTTTCTGCAGACCCAGCTCTAAAAAAAAATTAAACGGAAATTTAAATGGAAACAACTAAAAATTTGATTTAAACTTTCAACTTTACTTGGCATGAGATAGTAAATATCATTATGAAACACCCTAACATCATATTATTGTATGTATAAATGTATTTTATTTGTAAAATATCTTTTTGTTAATCTTATATTTTAAATATGTTCAGTTGGATTTAAGAAAAAGTGCTCCTTAGCATTAATGAATGACATAGCATAATCAGCATGCGGTACTAAATTGAGTAAACCAAACACCCATAAGCTCAGCAAACATCCCATGGCTTTCTTCGAGTGGTACAAAATCTTCAGTGCGCAGAATCGAGAGTACAGTCAGTGGGC